TTTCGAACGTCTTCTCGTCAGACTAGGCAGTCACCTTTTAAGCTGTGTATTCAAACCTACCATCGCCGACCATCATTCCTAGCCGCTCGGGAATATTGTAATCCTGCGGGACTGGCCGATCCCCCGGGATACAACACTGTTAATGATTAAATCGAAAAGTACATTGTTATCTGTGGCATATTGTTTATTTAATATGGGATTACTTTTATTAGCTTCATAAATAAGTAATATTTCTAGTACATCGAAGTGTCTATATTTTTGTACTATTTGTATTTTCTCCATTGTGGTTTATGTTGCACTCCAATATGTTCTGAGAATGTTTTGATTTTGTTTGGTTAAATGTGATGTCTTTCCGGTTTCTTAAATCTAGTTCTTAAATTTCTATCAGTTCCCAACTCTAACATTTCAGTTTTTAAACACGCTATTATTATATTTGTCATGTTATATACTTAATTTAAATCTTTTTTATGTTGTTAACATTGTATGCCACTTTTAACCTAGATCTTTTTTCTAAATTTGGTAAGGATTTTAATATAATTCTCAAAATATGTAAATTTATTCCATATTTAGGTCTTAACTGGAGAGGTATCTACACTGATAACAGGTTACACTCTCTGACGATTCTTATAAAACTTCTTAATATCACTGATGCTGTACCTACTGTTTAATCGATATCGCATTTATCTGTTCCATCTCATTCTATCCTCTCATCTTTGGTAATGGATATTTTTGTGTATTCTGCCTAACAATTAGATATTTCCTGCTTGTAATTATTTGGGTGATTTGATGACTCTGGCATTACTTTATCGGTGTAGGTGGGTTTTACCTAGATCATCATCCGTGTCTCTAAAACCCTATGTGGGTCTTGGCCATCTCTTTTGGAGGCTACTTCGTCTGTGTAGACATTTTGTAGGGCTTCTTGGACGAGTGATCAGCCCGTCGCAAGGCCTCGACCTGTACACAGGTCAGGACAACACAGAAAAACGCGAAAAAAACATCCATGCCTTGAGTGGGATTCGAACCCACAGTCCCAGTGTCCAAGCTCACGTGGCCCAAGCCTCAGACCGCGCGGCCACTGTGAGCGGCCGATTTTCTGAAGATACCCAATGTAAATTTATCAGCTTATAAAAAATATATTTGTTGATCTCGTTTTCACTGAAGTCAACTCGCGAAAGGTTTTAATTCTTGTGAAATTGTTGCTGTGGTGTGAATTGTTTTATTTGAACCTTTGTGTTTGTGTTTGTTTTTCAAGGTCGGGTAAAAATATATCGTCAATATGTAAATTTAACTTTTATGAATTTCTGATAATTGTCAATGCTATGGCAGCCATATTTGCGTTTTCGACTGTCAGATATTTCCTATCTTATATAATTTGTTACTCACCCATTAGAAAGCCTATTGGCTGTTGTCATACATTTTTCACTCGATACAAAAGGCTGTCGAGTGGTAGATTACAAACCTGTTATTATTTGTTGGTGTGAGTCTATGCATAATCGTTGTGTTCTTTATACTTATTCAAATTTTAAAAATGGTGAATCCCCAACGATGTATCATGAAACATTGATGTTTCAATGTCAGCTTGTCGTTATCTGATAGAAGGTACTGGCACGACATTTGAGGAAATTTTTTAGAATATATCCTACGAAACAAAGTTTAAGGCATTACGAAATAAATTATTGAAAAGAGTTTTTTATGACATGGGATTCTTAAAAAATTAAACCCCTCTAGTTTTAAGATGACTGTCTTCTGGGTTAATGCGCCGTGTAATCTGATAGAGGTTTCGAGGTGCTAGATGCCTCCATCTTAAGAACGATAAAGTGTGATGAAATTTGAACGAATCTTATGGCACACAATAAATTCTACAAAAATTTTATAAAACATTTATATCAAAACTAAAATAATGCTAAATATTAAATTAAGAAATAAGTTTTACAGCGGAGGTGTCCTACTTTCCAGCTTTAGGTAGAGTATATTCGAAGGGACGATCCAGTGCCTGAAGACAAACCTGTAAGTCTGGCATGCGTAACCCACGGCTTACCTTTGTTTCTTTTATCTGACTCCCGTGACGTTTTACAATGTTATAACATTAATTCATAACCGTAATGTATTTTATGTATAAAATATAAGGCATGTTATGCTTTTAACATTGGGAAGTCAAAATTTTTAATGAATCATTACACAAGCCTACATTTCCGGTGTTATTAGGTTTTTGGGCTTTATTCATCTTCCAAGGTTAAAATGCACACGACGTTTCGAAAACAGGATTAATTTTCGTCCTCAGGTTTATGGGGCATGGACACCTATTCTGAGAGGGAGTAGGTGCCCCATTTCGTAAAAAAACCATTGTTTATCATAACCTTCACACTCCAATTTGTGTATCTCACAAACATAACCTTCATACCTTGTATATGTCATTTGTTACTGTTGATAAGCGCACTTAACTTGGGTAAGTCACTGTAGTTCACTTACAAAGAAGCTATTCGAAACGTGTTTGGTAAACTTCGTTGAAGGTAAGTTATAAACACAGCTCTGGTGAAGTTTTCGTTTGGTTCCCACCAAAGCTTCCCATTCGTGTCCTCGTTTGAACCACGTACCAAATACAAACAACAAAAGAGCCACTGTTGTAGTGCTATACACCAGTGATTTTCAACTTTTTTTGTTCGCGTACCCCCAGATATAATTTCTCTTCAACTTTGCACCCCCAAAGTTGTTGGTGTATAATTCAAGTTATACATAGTATATAATCTACATCTAAAATAAATTACATTACTGATTATTCAGTGTTAATCATAAAATAATACATATATTTTTTTAAATTTGACGTACCCCCTTGAATGTGTTCGCGTACCCCCGGGGGTACGCGTACCCCAGGTTGAATACCACTGTTATATACCATTCATAGCATAGAAAGTTCCAGCTTGAAGAAAGTTCTGATAGTCTGCCTGTATATGAACTGGTTCGGACTTCAAAATATTTCGTTTCTGTAGTTTTAAGATGCAGCATCAACCTTTTGAACCATAAAATTCATCTGAGTCATATCTACGAATTCGTTGTCTCGAAAACACTACACTTCTCCATCAAGAAGATCAGGTTTGTTAACGCTATTTAGAGAAACAATCATTTTGTTCTGAGAGTCTTACATATCCCAGATACGCGAAGTTGCTAAATGTTAAAAGTCTGTGAGATAACGGGTCCTCACAGTGTCTTGTCTTCTTCAAAATCATAACTCCTTCTGGAACATTTCGCCGTGTATTTTGTATAAAGCGACCGATGTTTCAGATACAGTGATCACCTCTTAAATATTGGTCAATTTCTACCGGATTGCGCTGCGCAATGTCCCAGACGACAGCCTCAGTGTCGAGTAGATGGCGCGTTAAGTGACGTCTTTGTTTCAACACACAGAGTAACTTCTTGTCAGTGTTAACTCTAATTTCACTCTAAGC